CAAACACAGGGCACAGGGATGCTGAGTGTTCCCCAAGCACAGGCCCTTGCTGGGCTAAATCATTTACTGCACCACAGCCGGGCCTGCGGAGGTCACCGGGATGTTCCAGGTGGATAACTGTGCTCTAGGCCCAGGGAGGGAAGAAGCCCGAGCCCCTGAAAGATCTCTGAGCACAGCACCTACAGGCAGCCGCGGCCAAGGAAGGGGCGAGGGGCATCAGGAGGCAGACCCAAGGACCCTGCCCTCTGCGTGGACGACGAGGGACCCAGAGGTGGGCAGCAAGGGGACAAAGGGGCCTGCCTACCCCGTCAGCAGCCGGTTATAAAAAGCAGCTGCGCCACACTCCCCTGCAGAGCCTGGTGGGAGGATGAAAAGGGGTTTCCATGGTTACCACTCTGAGAAAGAGAATATTCAGATCAAACCAGAGTCAAAGGTTCGCCCAGTGAGCTTCAGCCTAAGCCTGGAATGCAGGGCCAGGGGTGCAGGGATAAGGGCAGGGCAGGGACCCCTCCCCCCAGCCAGTGGCCCCCCCACCTCCAGGGAACAGCAAGGCGGGTGGCGGTCGGGGGCGGGGGAGACAGCAGGGGGCCGGAGGGCGGCTTGTGCCCTCCCAGCCCACTGCCACCCCTCTGCCCCTGAGGAGCTGGTCACCAGGCCTCCGCCCGGGGAAGGCAAGAGGGGCAGTGCTTGCACACCAGGCCCGAGCCCAAAGCCCACTGGGGGAGCACGCTGTCGGGACTCATTGCTTAACCTGTCCCCGCCTGCAGAGCAAGGATGGCAGAAGTATCTGGTCCTGGGTGGCGCTGGGAATGAAGGGACGTCATTCATGGTGGCGCCAGGGTCAGCCCCCATCAACGTGAGCTAGGCTGCTGCTGGCTTGGTGAGACGCGCGCACAAGTTACCTGTGAGGATGTTTTCGGACATCACATTGACCTGGACCTCCACGGAATGCTTGGAGGTGTAGGTGATCTCCGCACTGACGTGCGCCACCTCACCAATGCACATGGGCGACAGGAAGTCGGTGCGCTCGACGCGGGCCAGGGCGGCCACACAGCGCTCCTGCGGAGACCAGAGACAGGTTAGCCCCAACCCGGACGTGCTCCTCGAAAGTGGCGTTTCTTTCTCCCACTGTGAAAGTAACGCCATTTATTGACATCACACATTCCTAGTTGCAAAACCACGGGAGAGGGGCACCTGGGTGGCTCAGTCGTTAAGCGTCTGCCTTCGGCTCAGGTCATGATCCCAGGGTCCTGGGACTGAGCCCTGCATCTGGCTCCCCGCTCGGTGGGAAGCCTGCTTCTCCCTCTCCCACTCCCCCTGCTTGCGTTCCCTCTCTCGCTGTCTCTCTCTCTGTCAAATAAATAAATAAATAAATAAACCACGGGAGACACAGAAAGGCCTCATGGGGACACCAGTGGGATTCTCTGAGCAGTGAAGATTAGCAGTGGCTTCTTTTTTCTAATTTTTCTACAAAAGACGTGTATTACTTCCATAATGGAAAGCAAAAAAAGACATACTCATTATGGAAAATTTGGGAAATACACAATGAAGTAGACCAAGGAGGGAAAAAATCACTCCTCCCATCCAAAGAGAACCCAGGGTTCTATTTCAGGATCTTCCTTCCCAGGCTCTTCTCCCCAAGAATGGGATCTCCCTGGTTCATTTGAGTTATTCAGTCTCATACAGTCAGGCAAACATAAACATACTTGTCCACAATCTGCTTTTTTTCTACTCAAAACAAGGAAAAATAACCTGCCTGCATTATAAATACTGCTTTGCAATCAATATTCCTTTATTTAAGTGTTATTTGTCCTTCAAATAGGAACCCATTTGCAGGACTCAAAATTGAAAGGAAGGAAAGGGTACAGGGTACCCGGTGTGCGTCTTGTCACTGGTCCCCAGCCACCCAGGACCCCTTCCCTAAGGGATCGACATGGCCACCGAGTACACCCATGCCTGGAGGGCCGTCTGGCACGCGACAGTCTACGCTGGGGCTTGTTTTCTATCGAAAGTGACAGACTTCCTCATTCTTCTGCATGGCCCTTTCCACAACTGACGTCACGACACCCCATTGCAAAAGTATGTTTAATGGCCAAATAGAATGGAATATTCCATTATCAGAGACTTGGGTCCAGTTGGGTCCATTTGCTTATTACAAACAATCCTTTGATGGGTGTCCTTTTACTTAAATCATTTTCAGTATTGGGGGCTGTTTCCCAGATTGAAGGGACACTTCAGTGTATGTTCTCGAAGTACTTCTCAACAGGACAGCAGTGCCTCTCTCTCCCCCATCCCCCCCCCGCCCCCCGCCGGGACTGGCACAAAGAACTGCTCAAACTGAATGACACAAGATGCTGGAGTCCCAGCTGTGGGACCTCAGACCCTCATTGCCAAGTAGAGCACTTGGCACGTCTATCTCTTTCTCCCGGAAACCAACCCTCTTTTCTAGGAGGCTGGGCACAGGTGTGCAAGGCTCTCCGGCTACGCCCAGGCTGGGTGGGGAGCAGGGAGTGGGGGATGGGGGCTCACCTCTGAAAGCCTGCCCATCCGGGCCTGCCTGCTCTGGTATTCGCTTCCCCAGCTAATCCTCGCAGCGCCCCTCGTCCACTGAGCTTGTGGTAACGGTCACTTTGAGCCCTGGTGGCACCTCCTGCGGAACCTGTGCAAAGTCCACCTGCCGCCTCCCGGACACGCAACTTCCCCGGCCCACGTCAAGCCGATGGGACCTGCCCCGCCTCTCCGGAGGGACAGCCAGGGAACCTGCACCTTCACACCTCCCGGGTGAGTCAGGAACACGGGGTTGGGGGTTCCTCCAGTTTCTGTTCCTATAAACGTGCCAGAGTCAGGTCTCAGCAAGCAGGGGACCAGAGTGGCTGGGAAAGGTTCTAGGGCTAAGTTGTGGTCACTCCGATCTGCACCAGCCTCCCCCCACTCGCCCCCTAAGTCACACTGGCACTAAAACGAAGTGCGCCTCTAAGTAGACTTCTGTGGCTACAGCACCACCCACTGGCAGAAAGCTGGAAAGGCACCCGCAGAGCCGAGCAGCACAGGAACAGAGGCCCACCTCTGGGCGGCTTGGTGGAATTATCCAGGCGCTGTCAGCAACACCCAAACCGGAATGAAACCAGGTGTCCTCACTGGAGAGCGGTTAAACTTTGGTATGGCTACACTCACACATGGGTAGCACACATGCATATATATATGAATAGTTTTTAATGGGAATGCAGCTTAGTCTTGGATGGACCTGAGCCCCATCTCGGTGTCCTTCTTCCTGGGAGGAGGAGAGAGGATGAAATGCCGGCGTGCTGAGACGAAGGAGGTGAACGATGTGGGCAGGTGACACAGATTAGGCGACTACTGACCCTCTGACGCACCGTCAGAGGGAGGGTCATCTGCTTCTGGGCCATGGCTGACTGCGGGTACACCAGGGGACCCGAGATCGCAGATCAGGCGGGAAATACTGGCATGCGTGGAGCCAGGCTCTGCACCTGGTGCGGGATTCAGGGGAGTGAGTCAGAGCGCCTGCCCTCGGCTTGGGTTCCGACAGGGGGACAGATGACAAATAATAGGACAATGCCCCCCGGTGGCAAGTGTTCTGAAGGGGGCAGTGTGGGAAGTGCTGGGGGTGGGGGGCAGCCTCCCCACAGAGGGCGCATCCTGAGTGAAATGATGTCAATTGGGAGGAGGCAGGTATGGAGGTGTGTACCCCAGGGGAGGGGGGAGCAGGCGGGACTGCGCACGGTGGAGGCTGGGGGGGAGGGGTGCACAGCAGGAGGTGCAAGCTAAGGGGTCAGCAGGGCCTGTAGGGCCAGGGGAGGTGTGGGGCCAGGACTCTGCTGGAGGGGCAGAGAAGACGAGCAGACTGGCTGACTTTTTAGTCCCTGTACTTCAGAGTGGTGTGAACTTTTGGCAGGTGCCATTTCTGTTCCCTTCCATGACCTGGAACATGGACACAGTGACCCAGGAGGAGACAGAGCAGTTCCCCACACTCTCCCAGGGAATGCTGTCAACACACACCTGCCACAGGACGCCCTCAGGCCTGGCATGAGACGCCTGGCAGAAGCCTCAAACCTGCTCTTCTGGGTTGGAAGCTGCTTGTTAGGAATCTTAAGCTTGGTTCTAAAAGAGAGAATGAATGTTTATAGGGCAGCCACTCCAGAGTCCTTCATAGGCAGGGCAGCCTAAGAGACAGGTGGGCTGCCTGGGGGCTCTCCACCGGTCTGGGGCGCGGGCAGCATGGGCCTGGGCCCAGGGCAGAGGCAACTTGACCGTGAGCTGTTGTCCAGGGGCCTAGCAGGGCACTGGGCCCACCTCAGGCATTCCGTGAAGAACAGGTGCGACCCAAAAATTCAAAAAAGGAGCCAATGAACATCTATACGCAGGAGGAGGATCTCCAAGCTGAACACACACCTCTGGCTGCCTGTGCCTCGGACACAGCCCTGGACCTCTCTGCTTCGGGGGCTTAAAGCAGGAGGGGCAGCCCCCCTCCCGGGAGCGCTCTCATTAGTCTACCCCAGGAAGTGCCCTCCGCCGTACTCCCAGAGGTGACCAGTACCACGGCGCTCGCAGGGCTCGGGGGGAAACCATGGGGGCTGGGCTCCAGAGCGGCCCCAGCACGTGAAGCCAGGATAACAGCTGCTGCTGCAGAGCCAGAACGGACAGCGAGGGGCCCTGGGCTCAACTCCCAGCTCTGCTGCTCCCTGGCTCTTGACCTTGTCAGACTCAGAAGTAAGTGGGGCTGGCAGGGTGCCACCAGGACCTGAGGGCATGATCCGTGGAGAGGGGGCTGAGCCGCCCCCTCTTACAGATGCGTGGGGATCAGACATGGGCACAAGCGGGTCCAGAAAGGTCCGCCCCACTACTGTGACCGTTTGGCCGGCACCTGCCCTACTCAGCGGACGCCACCGTAGAGGAGACCACTCTGTGGGACCTTCAGGAAGCCGTGTAACTTCTCTAGGCCTCCGCACCTCCCCCACAACGTGGGGTTAAGACAACGGTTGGGAAGATTCCACAAAGAAAAGGTCAAGCACACAGTGTGGTCGCTGGTGCACCGTAAGTGCCTATTAAACGGAAGTGGCTCCACAGGACACTGGCAATGAGCAGATCGCCAATGGGAGTCCACTGTGTTCCAGGCCTCCACCCGGATGCTGAGCATCCAGCAGGGACCGGAAGGCAAAAGTCTCTCCCTTCAAGGGGCTTACACTCTAATGGGGGTGGAGGGGAGAGGTGAGCAGATCAAAGATAAATGAGCAAAACGCACAATGTTCTAGGAGCGACAGTGCTGTGGAGAACAGCTCGGAGCAAGGAGGGAGCTGGTCATCAGGAAAGGCCTCAGTGGAGGTCATATTTACATAGACTGGAAGGAGGTGGGGGAAGCCATGCTGATATCTGGGGGAAGAGCAGCTCAGGCAGAGGGAAGAGGCAGTGCAAAGGCCCTGGGGTAGGAACACTGGCCACTCATGCAGCAGCAAGAGAGCCGGTGTGGCCCAAGGGAATGTTAAAGGGAAGGCATGGGACAGGAGATCCGGGAGCTGGCCGGTGCTCAGATCCACAACTACCCAGCAGGTGGAGCCAATAGGTTCGGCTACCAGTGTCCACAACGGAAGAAGAATGGGGTCACTGAAGGCCCCAGGTTCTGAGTGTGGGTAACCGGATGCCACAGTCATGTACAGAGGAGAGGGAGACTGTGGGAGGAGCAGCCTGGGGACAGGTCCAGGGTGTCTTTTCGGGCCCATCAAGGTCAAGGGGCCAACTAAGTATCCAGATGGAGCCAACCAAGAGGTCCCAGCTGGAAACAGAACCCCAGGGCTACATGACGGTACTAAAGGCATAGACTAGATGAGACCTCCAGGGGGGTGGGGTGAGGGTGCCCCCTCCCTGACCCAGAGCCCCAGCGAAGCCCCTCAGAGGCCAGCACTGGCCCCCATGCCAGTGTCTAACCACCTGGAGCTGCCTGGGGCTCACACCCCCTCCCAAGCCTGGAACTTCTGCACCCCTACCCTGGGACCACCAGTCCTGAGACCCCTGTAAGCCAACCTGTCAAAATGATCCTTCTTGTACCCCCAGGCTCCCTCCGGGGGCTCAAAGCACAGGTTCGAGGCCAGGATTCATGGCCGACCTACCCCCAGCTTCCCCCCGTGGCCTCGGGCAAGCATGCAGCCTCTCTGTACCTCCACGTCCTCCCCTGTGCAACTGCGGTCACGGGGATAATAATGCAGTGTGGGGAGGATTATATGAGCAGAAGCACTTCAGAGCTTTGCAAAATGCTACCCAGCAGCAGTTATGTGGGTCCTCGCCACCCAAGGCTCCCCTCTCCCCCATTCCGCCATCCGAAAGTTCTTCTTCCCGGTGCCTGGCCTCTCCCGCCAGGCCTGCCCGGACCCTCCCTGTCTGTCTCAGGGGGCCGCCAGGTGCTGGGCCCTCACGCCAGCCCCACCCCCACCCCGCCCCACAGGCACAGGCCCATCCTCCCCGCCACCACCAGAGGGCGCACTCTGAACATGGCCTGGTTTGCCCGGGAACTCCCAGGGCACCTGAACAAATCCGGACTCCTAGCTGGGCAGGGGAGCCCCTCCTTCACAGCACACCAAGGTCCCCCTCGCCTGTGTCCACCCATTAAAACGTTCACCCTAGGGGTGCCTGGGTGGCTCATTCAGTTAAGGGTCTGCCTTTGGCTCGGGTCATGATCTCTGGGTGCTGGGATCGAGTTCCACGCCAGGCTCCCTGCTCAGCAGGCAGTCTGCTTCTCCCTCTGTGCTCTCCCTCTCTCTGTCTCAAATAAATAGAATCTTTTTTAAAAAAGATAAATAAATAAAATAAAACGTTCCCCCTGGCTTGGTGCCCACACACACAAGCACACGCATACGCACACACACGCGTGCATGCCGCTCTCTCTCTCCTTGCCGCTGCCCCTCCAGCCAGCATGCATTCCTCCTCTCATCACAGCAGGTGGCTGGTCCAGGCCCACAGGGACACAGGACACTGGGACACAGAGGCTAGTGGCACTGCGTCTCTGCTGGCCCCCAGGTGGCAGTGTGGCACAAGACAGACCCCCCTCCCCGAGCGAGGCAGCTGGAGAAGCCTCGAGAGGAAAAGTCAGGTCCCTCGGGGCTGGAGGCAGGGCAGGAGAGGATGGGCCAAATGCCCCCCGGCTGACCAAGCTGCAAAAGCAGAAAGCCTGGCCTCATCCCGGGCACTCCGGCAGGGCTTCGCTGGGCTTCCCTGGCAAGAGTGCCAGTGCTTGCCCAGGCCCCACCCCGCCCCTGGGGGTGTCGATGGGGCAGGGGAGGGGTCAGGCCCAGGGCAGCCAGGCTCCCGTGGATTCTAGAAACCAAGACTCTTGGGGCGCCTGGGTGGCTCAGTTGGTTGAGCGACTGCCTTCAGCTCAGGTCATGATCCTGGAGTCCCTGGATCGAGTCCCGCATCAGGCTCCCTGCTTGGCGGGGAGTCTGCTTCTCCCTCTGACCCTCCCCCCTCTCATGTGCTCTCTCTCATTCTCTCTGTCTCAAATAAATAAATAAAATCTTTTAAAAAAAAAGAAACCAAGACTCTTCTGGAAGGAGGGGGAGGAGCTTAAAGGCAGCTCTCAGCCAGCTCCCAGCTTACTCTCTGACTGTCTCCCATCCCTCCTTGATGAGTCCCAAACGTCCCAAACCAAGCACCATTCCAACGGGTCCCATCCAGGGATTCCAGAAGTTCCCAAGGCCCAGGGGACAAAGGAGGGGAACACTCCAAGCAAACTCCTGTCCTGACCCAAGAGTGGTGCGATGCTGCACACAGAGGGTCGCCAGGCCTCCTGGGCCTGGAATTTTCAGGTGATCCCAAGCAGGCTGGGTGACAGCCCGCAGATACTTACCCCATTCTGGCTGTTACAGTGTCGGGTGCTGATGATGGCCCCTGCCTCCTCGATCATCTTCAGGATGGTCCCACCGTGGACGTTGCCAGCCACATTGGCATCATCCGGTCGCATGATCCTAGGCCGAGGAGAGAGAAGCAGCAGGATGAGGCCCTTGAGAAGGATGTCACTCATGAACAGCGACAACCCGGGGCGAGGAGAAGGTCCTCCAAAGAGACCAAGGACTCCCGAAGAAGGAAAAAGAACTTTCCGGGAGTTTGGTCAGAGTGGGCTGCTGATCTGACAGCCCCAGACAAGGGGCTGCAGGGTCCTGTCTCCCCGGGAGGGAGGGAGGGAGGCAGGAAGACAGCGGGACTGTATCCCCGGGGTCACAGGCACCCAGCCAGGAAGGGGTGAGAGCAGAGGCCTCTGGCAAAGGCAGCAAGGCGGCAGCATGGCCATTGGGATTCCCAGCACACCTGCCCCTCCTGGTTCCCAGGCTCCCCAACGACCAACAGGGCTGAATGAGCACCAGGACATAGGCCGTGGCCCCGTGGAAGACGACCCTCAGGAGTCCCAGAGGGGCTAACGCATGCAGCCTCGGTTTCTCTGAGACTCCTGTCAGCGGGGTAACACCCAGCACCACCTGCCCTGGCCTGCCGAGCTCCTTGGGGGCACCTGAGGGGGCTAAGTCCCCCGGGATCGAGAGCTGGGAGCCCTCCAGGGTCGGGGGAGGGGACTGAAATGCCACCCATTGCCCCAAAGAGGAAAAACTGCATCCCTGCTGTGGGCAGCCAGTGGTAGGGAGACTCCAAGAAATCTCTGGAATCCCAAGAAGCCAGCTTGGTGCTCCTACAGTGGGCAACCCCAGCCAAGCTGGCACCTTCCCAAACCACAGTCAGGCTAATGAAATCTGCCCTCAGCAGCCTCAGGCCTGGAGACAGGGGACGGGCAGAGCACACGCCACAGTTTCAGTGTGCCCGCCGACCACCTGGGCTCACCCAGCACAGCCCCCAGGACCTGCACCCTCTGCTCCGGGGCTCGGGGCCAGGGAGCTCTGCCACCCTCTGGGGCTAGGATCTCCTGACAGCTCCACTCAGCAGCTCAGTCTAGCCAGTCAGATTCCGAGATCATCCCTGGCTCCCGCTCTTATGGGTGAGCTGGGCGACCTGACCAAACTCTCATTCTTCCACTTCCCTGTCTTTAAAATAGGCATAATAACTGAACCACTGCACTTGACCGGGGGAGCACAGACTCACACGAGATAATGCAGATAACAAGCCCAGCCGCAGTGCCTGGCACACGGCCAATACAATGCATCCTCACCAGCAGTATTCTTCCCTCCAGGTAAATATTTACCCAACCGACTGCAAGGTTGGAAGCTCCAAGACAGAGCCAGAAGGTGTGATTTTCTCGGCAAATGAGCATGGACATCTTGCCGTGACTGACAGCGGACTGTTGCCCACCCCCAAGTGTGACCCCTTTGTCCTGGGGGAGAGCCGGCTATGAGAACCGAGACCCACTCAGGTCACATGGCTGTCTGGCCCTGCCTCACTGACTCGGGGCAGCAGTCATGGTAACCTGGGCAGAGGCCAGGGGAACCCCAGAGAACCGGAAAGAAGCTTCACTTGGCTTCTCAAACATCCATTTAAAAATATTTCTTGAAAAAAAAAAAAGAAGAAGAAGGTAGCAGGAGGGGAAGAACGAAGGGGGGAAATCGGAGGGGTAGACGAACCATGAGAGACGATGGACTCTAAAAACAAGGGTTTTAGAGGGGTTCTAGAGGGGAGTGGGGTGGGAGGATGGGTTAGCCTGGTGATGGGTACTGAGGAGGGCACATTCTGCATGGAGCACTGGTGTTATGCACAAACAATGAATCATGGAACACTACATCTAAAACTAATGACGTAATGTATGGGGATTAACATAAGAATAAAAAAATTTAAAAAAAAAAGGAAAAGGAAGAAAAATGAAGAGGACAGAAGTCACCTGTACCTCTGAAACAAATAATACATTATATGTTTTAAAAAAAGGAAGAAGAAGATAGTAGGAAGGGAAAAATGAAGGGGGGGAAATAAGAGGGGGAGACGAACCATGAGAGACAATGGACTCTGAGAAACAAACTGAGGGTTCTAGGGGAGTGGGGTGGGAGGATGGGTTAGCCTGGTGATGGGTATTGAGGAGGGCACGTTCTGCATGGAGCACTGGGTGTTATGCACAAACAATGAATCATGGAACACTGCATCTAAAACTAATGACGTAATGTATGGGGATTAACATAAGAATAAAAAAATTAAAAAAAAAAAATATTTCTTGAGTCAACTCAAAATAGATAAAGACTGGAAACCATGAAACTCCTAGCAGAAAACACGGCTTAAGGTAAAAGCTCCTTGATCAGTCTTGGCGACGGTTTTTTAGATCTGGCTCCAAAACCAAAGGCAACGAAAGCAAAAATAAACAAGTGGGACTTGATCAAAGTAAACAAGCTTCTGCAGAGCAAAGTAAACCATCAATGAAATGAAAAGGCAGGGGCGCCTGGGTGGCTCAGACGGTTAGGCTGCTTTCTTCAGCTCAGGTCATGATCCTGGGGTCCTGGGATCGAGCCCCACATCGGGCTCCCTCCTCGGGGGGAAGCCTGCTTCTCCCTCTCCCTCTGCTTCTCCCTCTGCTTGTGCTCTCTCTGTCAGATAAATAAAATCTTTTTTAAAAAATGAAAAGGCAACCTACAGAATGAGAGAAAGTATTTGCAAATCATGTATCTGATAAGTGGTTAATATCAAAAATATATATAAAGAGCTCACACAACAGTGAAAAAAAAATCTGATTTTAAAATGGGCAAAGAGGGAACACCTGGGTGGCTCAGTTGGTGAAGCATCTACCTTTGGCTCAGGTCACGATCCCAGGGTCCTGGGATCGAGTTCCACATTGCAGGGAGCCCGCTTCTCCCTCTCCTCCCAGCTCATGCTGTCGCTTTCTCTGTCTCTCTCTCCCAAATAAATAAATAAAACCTTTATTAAATAAATAAATAAATAAAACAGACAAAGAGGGGTGCTTGGCCACCTGAGTCAGTGGAACATCCGACTCCTGATCTCAGGTCATGAGTTCAAGCCCCATGTTGGGTGCAGAGCCTACTTTAAAAAAACTTAAAAAAATAAAACAGGCAAAGAAACCGACTAGACATTTTTCTAAAGAAGACATAGGGATGGCCACCAGGTACATGGAAAGGTGTTTAACACCACTCATCATCAGGGAAATGAAAATCAAAACCACCATGAGAGATCACCTCGCACCTGTCAGAACTGCTATGATCAAAACGACAAAAGAGAACAGGGGTTGGCGCGGGATGCGGAGACAAGGAACCCTCGTGCACAGTTGCTGGGGATGCAGACCGTGCAGATGCTGTTCTCCACAATCTCTAAAAAATTAAAGCCAGAACCACATGATGCAGCGATCCGCCTTCTGAGCATTTACCCCGAGGAAACCTAAGGTCGAGGTCAGAAGATACACAGGTTCATGACGGTGGCACTCACCACAGCTGAGCCCCCACAGCGCTCATCCGGGGGTGGGGGGTGAACAGATAAAGCTCTCGTGGGATACGGAAACCAACGGGGGGGGGGGCGGGGGGGGAGTTCTGTCACTGCTGATGACAGATGGACCCGAGGGCATCACGCGAAAGAAGTCGGAGACAGAAGGACAACACCATGTGATCTCACGTACATGTGGAATCTGACAACAGGGAGCTCAGACAGAGAACAGCCCGCTGGCTGCTGGGGGCCAGGCAGGGGGGCGGCGGGGTGGGGTGACCCTCCAGGTAAACAAGTCCTGGGGGCGTGAGGACAGCACAGGGACTCCAGGTACCAGTCCTGCACCGGACACATGGAAGCTGCTGAGAAAGTAGATGGTCAACGCTCTCACCACAGGGGAAAAAATCTCCAAACCTGTGAGGCGACAGAGGTCAAGGGTCGCTGTGGTGAGCCTTCTGCCCTACAGACACGTACCAAACATCACCTCGCATGCCTAAAACTAACACCCCGTTCTACGTCAGCTACATCACAATAAAACCGGAAAGATAAAATAATAAAAATTTTAGAAACATTGTCCAGTTTTTAAAAATTCGGGCTTAAAAATAAAATTAAATTAAAAAAAAAAAAAAAAAACCTTAGCATTAGCCCGAATTTCTGAGATAAGAGGTAGCCAATTTAAATAACAAAAACTGCTGTTATCAACCTCTTTCCTTGGTATCCGTTTTCAACTTAGTAAAGGACAGAGGGTCATTTCTGCCCAGAGGGTGGTCCTCCCGGGGCACAGGTACCGACCGCAGGGGCTGCAAGGGGGCAGGGGGCTGGCCAGGGAGAGCAGAGCCCCGGGTTCTAGAACTTCGGGGAAACCTGAGTCCAGCCTTCCCTAGAAGCACCAGAGCCTGCCTCTGGGGGAGCCTGATTCCCCCCTCGGGGCTTCCTGTGCCTGTCCGTCAAGTGGAGCTGTGCCCCCATGGCTGGCCCACAGAAGGGCAGACAGGAAGTGCCCACATCCGGCGGGGCACTGAGGAAGAGACTGATAAGGAGGCAGCCTTTGAGATGGTGCCTGCGGCCATCCTGCGACACTTGAGGGTCCCCAGAAACCCCACATCATCAACATCTGGCTGCCCCCAGGAGCCCGGGCACTTGGGAGTAAATGCCAGGAGCTCCAGACCACATGCTGTCGGGCATGAAAGTTCACTGGGATGCTTGCCATCCCCCACCCTTCCTGGTCACCCTGGGTCCTTTACAAATACCGTCCTAATTCCCCAGGCCAGCTGGGCACTCAGGCACAGGGTGCTGGCCCGAGCCTCCCTCCCTGGGTCCTGATCCTGACCCACACTCTGCAGTTACTGCAGAGGCAAGGAGACCAGAGCCCAGCTCACTCCACGCCCCTTGGCCCCAAATGGCCCCCACTGCTCAGGAGCTACTGGGCAGGGCTGTCGAAAGGCCAGTCACTCCCTCGGGGCCTCTCCAGCTTGCTTCCCCAGAGCTCCCGCGCCCCTGGCCTGCTCAGCTCCAGGCAGGCAGGTGTCGGAGGAGCGAGGGCAGCCAGGAGAACATGTGGTCCCTCATTCAAATTTTGTTTTCCCATTTTTTTTTTAAGATTTTATTTATTAGAGAGAGTGAGAGAGAAAGCAGGAGCAGGCGGAGAGGCAGAGGGAGAGGGAGGAGCAGTCTCCCCGCCAAGCAAGGAGGCCGGCAGGAAGGGCCAAGGCTGTCCTCAGCTTAGCGCCCGGAAGCTGGGCAGGGGAGGGGGTTCTGATGGGCCCACCGACCACACCCGAAATGTCTAACTGGAGGGGGAGTTGGGATTTGGGGCTTGTGGCCTCCAGGCTGTGAGAACATAAATTTCTGTTGTTTTAAGCCACCCAGTTTGTGGTCACTGGTTATGGCAGCCACAGGATGCCCACAGTCAGGGGGGCGGGCCCCCCACACAGAAGACAGCAGTGAGTGACAAGTGAGCCCCACAGGACCTGGGGATTGTGGCTGCAGCCCGAGCCTGAACACTCAGCCCCTGCACCCCAAGCCCGGCCAGCCCAAGCCAGGCCCCAGCACCGAGGCTGAGCACTGCCCACCCCTCCTGCAGCCCGCCAGCATGGAGCCAGCCTCTCTGACTCTGACACCAAAATGTCCCTGCTAAAATACAACATTGCAGGGGCGCCTGGGTGACTCTGTCGGTTAGGCATCTACCTTCGGCTCAGGTCATGATCCCAGGGTCCTGGATCAAGCCCCGAGTACAGCTCCCTGCTCAGCGGGGAGCCTGCTTCTCCCTCTGCCGCTCCCCCTGCTTGTTCTCACTCTCTCTCTCAAATATATAAGATCTTTAAAAAAAAATAAAATAAAATACAGCACTGCAGCATGAGTTCCGTGGTAATTGGGGGTGGGGGAGGGTCCTCAATCCAACAGTGAAAGCTAAAATAGCTCTCTGAGGTAGAAGGTAGCAGGCAGCACCAGGCCCAGCCGGACTTCCGGGACAGATGAAGTCCTCTTGGGATTTCCACCTGCGCCAAATACAGGCAGAGCCACTGGGCCTGCTGCTGTGGTCCAGGCGGGGGCCTGCAGAGCAGTGCTAAGGACACCTCACAGACTGTGCCAAAGGTCCCTGGGCCGGTCCCTGCTGGGCAGCGAGGGCTGTCCTGGGCAGGGACAACCCCAGGGAGCTTCTGCCCTGACCTAACCCACAGCAGTAGCTTCCTTCGTGCTCGGTGCAGGGAGCCGCCACCTTGGCAGAGAGACAAGGAAGAGTAGGCGTTGCCACTCCTGGTGGGAAAGGAGCTGTGGGGCTGACCGGGGGTAGGCACATGCCAGGACCATGTGGGCTGGGGGATGGGGCCAATCCCCAGCAGGCACATGTGAACACCTCTTCTTTCTATGGGGGACCCTGCCAATCGGAAGCCCCAGTGACGCTGCTTATCCTCTCCAACTTGCTGCCTAAGAAGGTTCCAGCAAAGTTCCTTCAACCCCAGAGCCCCCACCACAGCCCCTAGGTGAGGCAGGGACGGAGAAATGGCTGGGCCAGGAAAAAGTCCCTGGGGGCTCGTCCAGGCCCCAGAGCAGGAGTGGGAGGTGCCAATCACACCCGAATGCCCAGCTCACACTCTGGCCGGGACAGGGGAATGAACCGGGAGAAGGTTCCAGGTGCAGCCAGCTGACCAGCACCCACGGATCCCAAGAACCCAGAGCAGGGGCGGCTGAGCCGGCAGGAAGCAGAGCGGCGCCCCGCACAACCACAGAACCCGGCTGGCAAGAGAAAGGGAAGCACCGGGAGCAGCAAGGCTGCCAAGAGAAGCAGCTGCCGCCATCCCGAGGCCTCCAGCCTGGAGGGAGAGTGCTGAGCCATCACGGCTGGCCTCTTGCGGGCATTCGGGGTGTGACCCTGCCGGGCTCCGGGGCAGGTCATGCAGGGGCTGGACTTCCGGTCCCAGCTGCAGGCCCACCTAACATCCTGAGACAGCAAGAACCAGAGCAGGCAGTTGTCCTTGGCCCCGTGAAGCCGGCCAGCCCACCCACTGGACACAGGGGCCGCATCCCCTCTCCCACCTGACCCTGTCAAAGTGCCCCAGACAGATGATCTGCGGCAGTGGCCCCCACAAGAGAAGGAGGGGGTGCGAGACGGGGTGGTACCTGCTCAACTGGGAAGCCATGCCCGCTGCTTCGTCCTGGGTCCCGAGAGAAGCAAGGGGGTTAGTGGCAGCCAAGCCACCCCCCCCCCAAAAGCACCGTCCCAAGTCCCCACCAAGCCAGGCTGCCCAGTCTAACCAGGAAGAGGCTGCCTCACCAATCCGAGGAGTCTACCAAAAGCCGGTTGTCATAGAAACCTCGCTTTGTAAATAATGACAGTGGAGAAGAAGCACATCTCTGAGCCCTTCCGCTGCTGTGCCACAAGATCAAGAAGTCACGCAGATGGGGGCCGAGAGACAGGGCAAACGCCCACCCAGACTTTGTCCAGGGTCTCGGGAAAGGCTGGGCCCCAGGCCCGGAGCCACTGCCGGCCTTCCACGGCCAGCATTCCAAGCTTCCTGAGACAGACAGGGGAGGAGGGTCTCAGGCCAGCGTGAGAGGCACAGTGAGGGGCCGCATCAGGGGCAGAGCCAACATCCTGCCCAGAGGGGTTGGCATCTGACACCTGTCCCAAGGCTACTTCCCAGAGCCCTAGGGCCCAGGTGAGCCACTGGAAGGGAAGTGGGCGGGGGAAGCAGCCAGCTCCACCCCCCCCCACCCCAGCCCCTCTCCCACGGCCACGGCCCACGCTGCCACCACTCAGACCCGCCTCCTCCCCTCTAGGGCCCAGGTGAGCCACTGGAAGGGAAGTGGGCGGGGGAAGCAGCTCCACCAGCCCCTGCTCTCCTGCGGCCGCCGCCACCACACAGACCTGTCTCCTCCCCTCTAGGGTGCCAGGCGGCCAGGAGCAGACCTTCCGTCTCCGAGGGAGGGCCTGCCCTTCTCCCCTCCCACTGGGTGTTGGGAAGAAAGAAGGCAAGCCATCAGAGTGGCCGGGGAGCAGGTGTGACGGTGGCAGCCCCGGGAGAGGAGGCTGGATGCATAATTACTGTTCCCACGCCCGTGCCACCCCCATGCAGGACACGTGAGGGCACTCTTCCTGAAAACTGTCGACCTGGCTTGGCTCCTGGGCACTGGTCCACCTCGCCTGTGGGGCAACTCCGGTAGGTAGTGCGCTCAAGAGACCAACAGGCCAGAGCACCAGTGAGGTTCAGGCAAACTCAGCCTGTGGCCGCTCTCACTCATCAAAGGCCCAGCATGCTCCCAGCTCCTGGCGTCCTCCCTAAAATACGGCCCAAGTGCTCCTAAAGGCACAACTACCATTGTCCCAAGTCCTCCCACCTTTCTGTGAAAGGAGACAGAAGCAAAGTTCCAGACTGACCACCACAGCGGCAGGTTCCATAGGAAGGCCGGCCAGGGCAGGAAGGGCCAAGGCTGTCCTCAGCTTAGCGCCCGGAAGCTGGGCAGGGGAGGGGGTCCTGACGGGCCCACCGACCACACCCGAAATGTTTACCTGGAGGAAGGGGAGTCAGGGCAGAGTCTGGGCGGAAAACCTTCCCCAAAGCCTTCCCCCACCCACACAGCCCGATGGGGGCCCTGACAGGATGGCAGACCTCCTTCGGCTCCTCAGCTGTCCGTGACGGTGCTTCATCCTGAACAGAAGTGACCCCATTTGCAGGCAGGCCCGAGGACTGTTCCTGTAGGGCAGGGCCTAGGGCCATCCTGCTCACTGCTATTCCCTAGGACCGGGCACCACGCAGGACAAAAAGCAAAGTGCCATGAACAGGTGTCAAATCAAAGAGCGAACCAGTGCCTTGAGACACAGAATGGACGGAGGCCACCACCCCACCCACCCTAGGTCCCCTCCGGTCAGCTGGGCGCTCAGGCCCCATGTGCACCTGGTCAGCAGCCTGCCCCTCCCCCTGCCTTCCCTGCCCAGAGAAGCCTGGCCCCACTCCCCTCCCCTGGAAAAGGCCAAGAGTGCTGCCCCCACAGGCCACTCAGGATCCAGATCACCACAGTGGGCCATGTGCTGGGTCTGGTCAAGCCCATCTATCACCTGCCGGTCAGAGAAAAGGCCCCCAAGGTCATGGGTGTCCATTCTAGCCACGGGGCATCCCAGAGCCATGTGTCCAGGCACCCAGAACCACAACCAGGGCCCCCTCCAGGCCCTCCCACCCCCAGCCATCCCACAGTTGTCTTACAGCTTGGCCTTCTCCCTAAGACAGGCCTCGTCAGCTCCCTTCCTCAACACTTTCAGGAACGCGCCCCACCGAAGCACGAGCATGGTCTCTGTTCGTCCCTTCCCGAGACCCGGCCAGATGGGACTCGGGGTGGGGGGGGCCTCAGCCCGGATGCTGTGCCCTTTGGACTTGGCCCCATTCCTTCATGCAGGCATGGCCGCCTCCCTAAGCAACAGTGGCTTCTCTCTCCCCGTTGGTCTCAACCTTGGGGATGCTGGGCACACGGCCCACCCCAACACTGCACGTGCCCGTGACCTTTTCAGATCCGTTAAAATCACAGGAAATTGGAGTCGAAAAAGATGCTGGAAATTACTCACTTCAAGCCCCAGCTTCTACCTGTGAGGAAAGCAGGCCCGCAGAGGCGAGGAGGGTGGCCCCGGGCCCGCACCACTCAGACCTGGAGGACGGGGCATTCGGCACCTTCGAGGTGGCGTCCCCGGAGGGTGCTGGGCCAGGGGCGACGCAGCCTCCCGCACGCTGCAAAGACCTGCCATCCTTCCCGGCAAAACACCCCCCGGGTGATGGGGTGATGACTCAGGGACGAGAAGCAGGCACAACTTGACCCGCCACATTCCTTCTCAATTATGGGAAGATCATTAAAATGCTCCAAGCCCGGCTTAAAGAGAAAGAGTCCTCACGGGGCCCGCGGGGAATCCCGAAAGCGGCCACACCGGAGTGAGCAATCTCTCATGGAGAAGTCGGCCAGCGCCGGCCGGGGATGCTGCAACGGCTGGCTAAGTAAACCCAAACCCGTGACTGAGAAAACGCCATCTACAGGACAGCTTGAGACACACCGCAGAGTTCAGACGCAAATGGAGTTCTCTCCCTATTTTCTCCTCAGAGGGAAGACATCTTTCAGATTTGGACCGATCCACTGAATGACAGGCAGGCTCAATGGGATGGGTACATGCACACACCCTAAACCAGGAGAACTGAGATTTAAAAAAAAAAGAACAACCAACCCAACAGGGAAATGCAATGAGGGAAATCTGCAGGAAGTGACACAACAAGGGAAATACCTACGAGTCCACCCACAGCTCGATCAAAGCGGCGAGGACGGTGCCTCACTTCCACAACCACGCCGACTTCCCACAGAGAGGAATCGTCCCTCGCCAGCCTTCCGAGCAAATAAGTACAAAGTGGAATAACCAGGAGGTGGTTTCTCATGTTCTAAGTTAACCAAGAACCGGCCACCCCCGCCGCCCCTGGCCCCGAGCAGCCGTTCCCCTCCCGGCAGCGGGGCACTGGGTCGCCGCGTGTGGGCTGAGCATGGCAACACTCCTGCCCTGAAATCCTCCCCGACCTTGAGGCGTAGGGAACCTCAAGGTCTTTGTGATAATGGAAACCAAAAAACTGAGTGGTAAACCGCTTCAACCAGCAAGACCTGCTCATCATCTGACTTTTCTCCCCCTGGAGCAGTATTGCCTTTCAACTTTCAAAATGAATAATCCTGCAACACCCAGCGCCTACCAAGTGGAGTTAGCAGATGTAAGACGAACGGAATGCAAGCCTTTTCTCAAGGTCATAATGAACGACAGCGACATCAGTCTCCAGTTAAAAAAGAGAGAATTAAATACAGCAGAGATTTCCTGTTGAAGCTCTCAAGTGTTTCCCTCTGCAGGAAAAAACCAGGCTTTCTGCCTGATCATCCCATTGTACTTCAAAAACCAGAAAACCACCAAAGTTTTAAGTAGCATTTTAAGAACAGATGAATTTGAAGATAAAGAATTATTCGTTTTCTATTTTGGACACCTGCAAATGAAGTGGATCTAGTAACAATAACTGTAATGGACTGTGACAATTCAGTTTATTTTTAATTTTGATGGTTGGGTATTTGGTTTCTCCTAAAATGAGAAAGATATTTTAAACTATAAGGAATTTTCTAACCAGTTTCAGCTTTGCAGGCAGTTTCCTGCATAAATTGGGAAGTAACACTGGAAAGTAAGAATTTGGTTAGTAAAGTGGGAAGGCTGTATTTATAATTTGCATGCTACTTGCAATTTTTTTTTTCATCTCTTGTAATAATGGAATGGAAATGTAAGCTGTAAAGATTCTCAAGTATAAAGTATTTGCTGAAAAATAAGTAAATTAACCAAGAACCATTTTTTTTTTAATATATTTATTTATTAGAGAGTGAGTGCAAGAGAGATCACAGAGGGAGAGGGAGAAGCAGGCTTCCCACTGAGCAGAGAGCCCGATGCAGGGCTCAATCCCAGGACCTGGAGATCATGACCCGAGTCGAAGGCAGACACTCACCAAATTGAGCCACCCAGGTGCCACCCAAGAACCACTTTAAATGATAAAACTAGATGTCCGGAAAGGTTCCCAGCAACATGACCCTAATAGCCAAAAGAGGAGGGAACAGCCCAGGTGCCCATCACGCAGGGACAGACAAATAAAATGCCGTCCATGCACACGACGGGATAGGATTTGACTATAAAAGGGAATTGGGTACGGATGCACACTACCATGAGGAAGAATCCTGGAAACACGATGCTGAACAAGCAGCCATCACAAAGGGCACGGTTCCGCTGACATAAAATGTCCAGAGCAGGCCAATCCATACACAGAAAGCGGACTGACTGGCGGAGCCACGGCCTGGGGGAGGCGAATGGGGGAGAGAGCTAAAGAGCACAGTGCTTCTTTCAGGGGTGAAGAAAATGTTCCGGACTTAAATCACAGTGATGTTGCCCCAGCTTGTGAATACACCAGAAAACACGGACCTGCACTCAAGACTAAAGGGACGAACGGGATGCGAGTTACAGCACAATAAAGCGGTCACCACAACACCTGGCTGCAGACCACTGCGGGGAAACAGGCCCACCCCTCCACCTCCAGAACTTTCGGCCTCGGCAAGACCTCCAAACACTCAGGCCCAGGAGAGAGCTCGCAGAACTGAGCCCAAAGAAAACCACGCGCATTGGACAAGGCAGCGGCTTCAGAGCTTCTGATACTAAGCAGTCAACTAGCTCCGGGGACCCTACGCACGAGCAAGGTTGCATTTCTCTGAGACATCTGTGGCAGCT